CTCTCTCCCCCCCCCCCGCCACTCTTCCTAGCACCAGGTGCTCCTCCGGTAGACCCCCTCCCCCCTCAGGGTCCTGCCCCCTCAGGTGTGTCCCAGGTAGACCCTGTCGAGCCTGTCGAGGTAGCTATCAACTCTGGTGCTGCTAGGGGTGCTGAGCCTGCGGGTGCGGGGACTGGGGGTGCTGAGCCTTGGGTTGCTGTGTCTGAGGGTGCGGAGCCTGGGGGTGCTGAGCCTGAGCGTCTGGAGCCTGGGGGTGCTGAGGCTGGGGGAGCTGAGCCTGAGCGTGCTGAGTCTGGAGGTCCTCCGGGTGTCTCGTCACGGCGGGAGCCCCTCTCTCCGCAACGGCTGCGTGAGTGGTACGCTCGGCGCTGTAGCCGTGCTGCTGGGGCTACGGGGCCTGCTGCTGGAGGTGCTTTTGGAGTTGGAGCTGCTGGAGGTGCTGCTGGTGCTGGAGCTGCTGGAGGTGCTTCTGTTGCTGGAGCTGCTGGAGCCGCTGGTCCTGGAGGTGCTGGTGCTGGAGGTACTGGCGCTGTTGGAGGTCCTGCTGGTGTTGGAGCTGCTGGAGGTGCTGGAGCAGCTGGTCCCGAAGGTGCTCGTACTGGAGGTACTGGAGCTGCTGGGGCTGGTGGTGCTGCAGGAGTTGGAGCTGTAGGTGCTGCTGGAGCTGGAGGTGTTGGAGGTACTGGAGCTGTTGCTACTGGAGGTGCTGCTGGAGCTGGAGCTGTTGGAGGTACTGGAGCTGGTGGTACTGGTGCTGAGGGTACTGGTGCTGTCTCTACTGTTTCTGGAGGCGCTGCGCGGCCCCGGCCGTACTACGTTCCGCTCCTTCAACAGGTTCTTGGTCTCCTGCCTTCTACTAGTCCTACTCCTCCTTTACTGATTCCACCGCCTGTCTAGTCACAGTCGCAGTTACAGCCAACCTCTCCACTGCCTGGTCCTTCTCCTTACTCTGGACCGACTAGAGGTCTTACGGAGCGTCGTGAGCCTGAGTCTCGTCCTGCGTCGCCTGAGTCTCGTCCTGCGTCACCTGAGTCTCGTCCTGAGTCGCCTGTCCGCGCTGTTCGCACTGGTCGTCGTGTTCCGCGTCAGCGTCCTCCTCCTGTCCCCGGCACTCACTAAAACCCTAAACCCTAAACCCATAACCCTAAACCCTAAACCCCAAAACTCTGCCGTCTCCTCCTGCGTCCTCTCTTCCTGACGGTCCGGACCCGGAGTCTGACTCCCTTTGTGCTGCTAGTCCTACTGTCATGCGCTTTTTGGCCACTGTTGTCACTGACCCTTCGTCTGAGTCCACTGATGCGTCTGCTCTCGTCGCTGAGCTTGTTGAATTTGCTGTCGCCTGTCGTCTAGACTACGCCACTAGTCTTGTTGCTGAGTCTGAGTCTGCGTCTGTCTGTCCTCCGTCCGTCGAGGCTGAGTGTGCTCTTGGCACGGACGTCCTTGAGGACAGACAGGAGGAGTTTGAGTGCTTTGCCGCTGCTGTACCTCATCTTGTGTCCATGCTGCTTGCCCCTGAGGGAGACCCGGATGCACCAGACATCCCGACCCCGCGCTCTTACGCAGAGGCAATAGAGGGTCCCTACTCCTCTTTGTGGGAGACAGCCATGGACACAGAGATGGCTTCCTGGAAGTCCACAGGCACCTACGTCGACGAGGTTCCCCCGCCTTGGGCGAACATCGTCAGTGGCATGTGGATCTTCAGGGTGAAGCGGCCGCCGGGTTCTCCGCCTGTCTTCAAGGCGCGTTACGTTGCACGAGGCTTCAGTCAGCGACAGGGAGTTGACTTCTTTCAGACCTTCTCCCCTACCCCGAAGATGACCACTCTTGGGGTACTGTTGCACGTCGCCGCTCAGCGTGACTACGAGTTACACTCGCTTGACTTCAGCACAGCCTTCCTACAGGGTAGCCTGCACGAGGAGATCTGGCTGCGCCGCCCACCTGGCTTCATTGGGTCGTTTCCTGCTGGTACCCAGTGGAGCCTCCGGCGGCCAGTCTACGGTCTCCGCCAGGCACCCCGTGAGTGGCACGACACACTGAGGACGACTCTTGCTGCTCTTGGTTTTGCTCCTTCCACTTCTGACCCGTCGCTGTTTCTGCGCACCGACACCACTCTGCCGCCGTTCTACGTTCTCGTGTACGTAGACGACTTGGTCTTTGCTACTGCTGACACTGAGGCACTCGCCCACGTGAAGTCCGAGCTGCAGAAGAGACACACGTGCACAGACCTGGGTGAGCTCACAAGCTATCTTGGCTTGCGGATCACCCGGGACAGAGCACAGCGCACCATTACCTTGACTCAGTCACACATGGTGCAGCAGGCCCTTCAGCGCTTCGGCTTCACGTACTCCTCGCCACAGTCCACTCCTCTGCCTACCGGTCACTCGCTCTCAGCTCCACCTTCGGACGAGTCCGTAGAGCCGAGTGGCCCGTACCCAGAGCTTGTGGGCTGCCTCATGTACCTGATGACGTGCACTCGACCCGACCTCGCGTACCCTCTCAGCCTCCTGGCTCGCTACGTGGCTCCCGACAGGCACCGAAAGGTGCACTGGGATGCTACGAAGAGGGTACTGCGTTACTTGTGCAGTACGTAGGGCATGGGGCTAGTGCTTGGAGGACGGGCTCGAGTTGTCCTCACTGGTCACGCAGACGCTTCCTGGTCTGACGACTTGAGTATGCAGCAGTCGTCACTTACACCTTCAGCCTTGGCTCCGGCTCTGTCTCTTGGCGGTCTACCCGCTCGTCTTTTGTTCTCAGTTCCAGTTGTGAGGCTGAGATCTACGCAGGGGCCATGGCTGCACAGGAGTTACGCTGGCTCACCTACCTGCTGACCGACCTGGGAGAGCCGCCTCGTTCTCCTCCAGTGCTGTACGTCGACAACAAGGCCATGATTGCCTTGTGTCAGGAGCACAGACTGGAGCACAGAACGAAGCACATAGCTCTGCGCTACTTCCTTGCTCGAGATCTGCATCAGCGTGGTCAGCTTCGTCTTGCTTACGTGGCCTCTAGGGCCAACACTGCTGATGTTTTCACCAAGGCACTTCAGCCTTGTGATCATCAGCTTTTCAGTACTGTTCTAGGCCTTGTACCTACCGTGCCTCACTTGCTTACTTCTTGACTCTGCTTGTACTTTGATCTCTATACATATACCTGCATGCTTACACTTGCTAGGTTGTGTTCACTGTATTGCTTGTTCTCCTTTATATAACTCTGCATGTGAACTGGCCTTGTGGCCATTTGCTTGTGCTCAGAATGCGTGGTGACTTTGTGATCCACCCTGAGCTTACTTTGCATTTCTTGACCGGTCTTGTGACCTCTTGTTCTCCCCCACTTTGCCTATGGGGGTGTGTCAAACTTATATGCCTTAGTCTGTTTAGGCTGTAGTGGGGTAGTTCATATAGGGTACAACACTTTTAGGTTTCCTACTTGTACCCACCTGCTTGCTAGTTCAATCATTCATTCCTTCACTATTCTGACAGCGTCTGCATGGAATTCCCTCGGCGATCATCAGCGACCGAGATCCGAAGTTCACGTCGAAATTTTGGATGGAAACGTGGGCGCAGTACGGCACGAAGCTACAGTTCTCCTCGGCATACCACTCGCAAACGGACGGCCAGACCGAGCGGACCAATCAGACCATGGAGCAGCTGATAAGGACAAACTGTCCCGACCCTGCTTGCTGGGAAGACTCGCCCGCCATGTTGGAGTTTGCCTTCAACAATGCCCCGTCGAGCACGACTAATCACTTCCCGTTCTTTTTAAATCACGGGATGGACCCAATGGTGCCTACAACGACTATACTCGACAATCCGGTCCCGCGGTCACAAACATTTGTGACGAAACTACAGGAAGTTCGCGAGAAAGCTGCGAACGCAATTCGCAAGGCGAATACCACTTCCCGCAAATACACCGACCTTTTACGACGGGAACTCTTCTTGGCAGCTGGGCAACTAGTGCTACTCGACACGAAGAACCTGCGCCTGCCCGGCCCATCGAAATCACGGCCACGATTTTGTGGGCCTTTCAAGATAATCAAGATGGTGACGCCTGTCACCGCGAAGCTGCTGCTACCCGAGGACTGGCGTATACATGACGCCTTCCACGTCATCTTACTTCGCAAGTTCGTGCCAGCCACGACAGACATCGCACGACAACAGGCTGCACCAACGGCACGTCCAGTACCAGAACCGACACTCGACCCGTCCAAGATATTGGTGCATCGTGTACGACTGGATGCCGCTGGTCGCCACGTGGATTTTCTCATCCGTTGGACTGACCGCACCCGTGAAGACGACACGTGGGTGTCATCCGCTTCGCTTGAAGACTCTCCGTTTACTGGTGATTATCTCGCCTGCAAGCGAGCTGCGGATATTGACCACATTTCTTAAGGGGGGGGGGGGGCAAGTGAAAGGAATTTTCCCGAATTCCTCATCGGGGTTGACTGCTTCGCGTACAGCCCCGATTTTCAGACTCTGCACGTTTGGTTGACTCTGCACCCAAACTCAATCACCAGAAGTTCCCTCCTAGCTAGGCTAGCCACTACATAAGCGTGTGCCTTCATTGTATCATCAGTCTGTTCAATCACATTCTTGTTATTCGTTAATCTGCGCACTCTCCTTTACAACTCATAACATATATAGCAGAAGTAGCTAATCTTTCGCTGTAGCTATACGAGGTTATTGCTTCTCGCGAAAGGATATTTTCGTTCAGGTTTGTCGCAGCCGTTTCCCGAAACCTCTCGACCCGTCGAAATCGTTGCATAGTGGAGCGAAAACAAATCAGCCGCTGATATTGCGGTTGTTCCTTACGCCCCAAAATCCTCGTTAGCCAATCCGGTGCCGCTGAGTGGAAAGTTGGGGATAAGGCGAGCAACTCCAGGGTTCAATCAGAGGGAGCAGAGTCCAACGTACTCGTGCCTGCATTGTCCATCCAAAAGATAGTGGACCGCCTCCCTCCAGTTTGACGCCTGGTAGCATTCTCCTTTTCGATCTCTTCAGCTCAACTCAGCTACCTCGTCCACCTCCACACAGCTCAATGGCTGCCCTCGCCTCCTCCCTCAGCTCCGTTGCTGCCGCAGCACCCCTGAAGGTGGCTGTCAGCAGCAAGGTCTCTACCTCCCGTGTTGTGAGGTTGACCGTCCGTGCCGAGGAGAAGGCCGCTGCCGCTGCTCCCATCGGCCCCAAGCGCGGTGCCACCGTGAAGGTCCTCAGGCCCGAGTCGTACTGGTTCAATGACACCGGCAAGGTCGTTTCCGTTGACCAGGTGAGTGGGCGTTACTTACTGTCGCTTTAGGTAGAGATGCTTCGGTCGGATTGGCTTGGCATAGTTTGTGTCCTCCACAACTTGCTCGCTTACCTCTACCAATCCTTGTGCAATGCAGAGCGGCATCCGCTACCCCGTTGTCGTGAGATTCGAGAAGGTGAACTACGCCGGCGTGTCCACAAACAACTTCTCTGTGGATGAGGTCGTTGAGCTCTAAATGTACAGCGGCTAGTAATGTCTACTCTGTATGGCCTTCTGAGTAATTGAGCTGCCTTCACACTTCCCGTTTTGTTTAGGTGGTACTATGTTAAGATATACACGGGAAACTGATCTGCATTTATTCGTTCCTCTTCGACTGCCAGAAAATTGAAGCAAATATATACGCAGAAAAATTCGTGGCGTAGTAGCAAGTTGAATTACGTGAAGCCGTACTTCACCCTGAACCTGACATCCACTAGGACGATGCGAGTCCTGCCAAAATATTTATATGATGGAGATCTATAATATGAAATAGACGGTAGGAATCAGCTCTAAATCGCGGTTGGTGGGGCGAGAATCAGCTCTCAATCGTCTTTTAAGACAGGAACCCGATCTGTGATTCCGACGGATGTGCAGGAAAGAAAATTTTCAGTAACAAGCACAATAGTTGCATATTATGTTGTTAAAACATTCAGGGTAATGGATTCTGGAGACAGTCATCAACGACCCTCCTAAACAGCCCTCTAACCTCTGCCAGATCCTCCTCCACCCCGTTCAACTCTGCTGCCATCTCCCTTGCGACTGCCTCATTCTCAGCATTCAGCTCTGCTATTCTTTGAAGTTGCTCCTCTTCTGTCAAGTCAATGTCAGGAGGTAACGCATCCACAAGCATGTCAAACAGCTTCAACGCCTGAACCAAGGCTGATGCCATCTCAGGAACCTGCTCTATCACAGGGACTGCTGGTGCCGAGGCGACCGATGCGTCAGTTCCTGCTGCAACGGTTCCTTCTGCACCAGGCCCAATGGTACCGTTAGGGGCCGCGGCTCCGTTAGCTACTGCGCCTGGTCCCGTTGAAGCAGCAGTTGGTATGGCGGCGCCTGTGTTCCCTGGTCCAGAGGCTGTAACCGGCTGACCGTTTCCAGGTGCAGCTGGTGTGGTTGGCGCGAGAAGAGGTTTCCCAGGAATGGTTGACGGAGTGGCGTCTCGTTGAAGTGTGCCGACGGTGTTGAAAAGGAGGAAGGCGATGTGGTTGGTGTGGTCCTGGAGCTGTGATACTATGTCCATGGCGATTCTAAGAGCCGATGTGAGAAAACAGTATCCCGGACGTTACGCTATCTATAAAGCAGGATCCAATGTAGTAGATGCGAAGAACAGGCCGTAAGAGACGATCACGAACGGCAGGGTAATTAATCTCCACGCAACATTGCTGCCGTTGTGCCTGCCAAGCTGCAGAGCAGAAGCTGTCAAAGTTTTGCTGGGCCTGGTGTGGAAGTTCAGCACGCATCAGAGCAGAGTGTAGCGATGAACGGAAAACCTGGTCAAGAATTAAACTGGACGATGGAGATAATATTGGGGAGCATTTCAGCGGGGACACCAACTGGCTTTGTAGGAGCTTACGTGGCAGAACTTTCGGCTTCACATTCTCTTCAGTCACACCTCATCTGCAATAGCTCCGCTGTGCGGAAAATATGTGAGGCAAATGCTACAAGTTCCAAGTGATTTGTGACATGAATAAAACCCCTCACCCTGTCCCGTCCTCCCCACGCGGTTTTGAAATTGTGGGTTGGCTTTGAATTCACGTAGGTTTTGTTTTGCTGTGGTGTGTCTGGTAATACGCGAGAACCGTTTCATATCAAGAGGAAACCAACTGAACCGCACGTGACGAACAGAAAACCAACTCGCATCTCCACATCCTGCCCATTCAATTTACAGAAACCACTTCGAGTACTCGATCCTCCTAATCACTTCGTTCATCAGGCGAATCGCCGCCGTCGATTTCACCTGCGCCACAGTCATAACACTTTCCTTTACCGTGCCGCGCGATCAACCTAACACAACAGCACCTCACAATGGCGGCAGCAGTCGCTGAGAACGTTGCCGTATGCTGCCGGCAGCTAACCGGGAACGTAACGGTTGAGTCTAATGGTCGGAAAAGCGTCGCCCTCCAGACGCGGTACGACCAGATGCCCGAGATAGACGACCGTTGCATGTACCGAGTTTCAATCCTTCCAATGGGGATTATCTGCGATAATAGTGAATTTCCAGTCCTGTGTGTTCCGTGTGTGGATCTCACCTTCCTCTCGCGCGGCCAACGAAAGGCATTCGAGTCGTCTCAAAAGATGACTGATGATCCAATCCTGCGTGTTGTGTTTCCCTTTCTTTTCATGCGTCTGCGTGTGTTTACGTGTGCTGCCGTGTGTTGTCCCAGCTTCCTCTCCCGTGGTCAGCGGAAGGAGCTCGCGGCGCTGCGCATCCAGCTCAGGAATTCCGCAGCTCGCTCTGGTGAGCGCAACTTACAGGTCCTCTGCTGAGTGTAATTTTCAGCTTTTTCAGGTAAGTGTAACTTACAGTCCTCTGGTAAGTTCGAGTTCCTGATCTTTCCGGCATTGCGAGCCACAGTTCTTTACGGCATAGCATCTTCCCAGTTCTTTACGGCGTTCCGCCGTTCTATTCAGTGCGAAGTCAAGGACTTCATCGTCCGAGTCAGTCTTAACTCCCCCCTGTTTGTCGTCACGATCAGTCGTATCTTGAGCCGTCCCATCTACATGGCTCAGAGCGCTTTGTCATGTAAAAATACAGTAACAGGTTTCGGTGACCAGATGTTACCAGAAAATGGCGCGAAACCAGCCTGGCCGCCCTTGCTAAACCCCAGCATGCAGTGTTCTCTCGCAACGCAAGATTTGCCATTTCAATGCATGCTTCTCCTCTCACCCTTGTCCTCCCCAGCAGTGATCGCAGCAACAGCCAACCGTGAGCCAGTGGCAGCAGCGGCGCACACAGCAGAGGCGGTGGAGAGCTTGAAGCTGGAGCCCACCCCCATTCCACCGCTCACCACACGCCGTTTTTCCACTCATGCATGCTTCTCCTCTCTCCCCAACAGTGATCACAGCAGCGTCATGTCGCCCCCAGTGGCAGCAGCAGCGCACACGGCAGAGGCGGTGGAGAGCTTGAAGCTGGAGCCCATCTGCCCATGCTTTCCGCATTCCCCTCCCCATCCTGCCCTTCATTGCATGCCTTTCTCCATTCCTCCAGTGGTCGCATCATCTCGCCTGCCAGTCTCAGCAGCGGCGCACACGGCAGAGGCGGTGGAGAGCTTGAAGCTGGAGCCCATCGCTCAGATCAGCGGCACCGTCAACCTGCCCGGCTCCAAGTCCCTCTCCAACCGCCTTCTGCTGCTTGCTGCTCTTGCCAAGGTGGGTTGGAAGGGCACTGTTGCCAAAGTCACGTAGTAGAGGGTCGCTCAGATCAGCGGCACCGTCAACCTGCCCGGCTCCAAGTCCCTCTCCAACCGCCTTCTGCTGCTTGCTGCTCTTGCCAAGGTGGGTTGGAAGGGCGCTGTTGCCAAAGTCAGGTAGTAGAGGGTCGCTCAGATCAGCGGCACCGTCAACCTGCCCGGCTCCAAGTCCCTCTCCAACCGCCTTCTGCTGCTTGCTGCTCCCAAGGTGGGTTGGAAGGGCGCTGTTGCCAAAGTCAGGTAGTAGAGGGTCGCTCAGATCAGCGGCACCGTCAACCTGCCCGGCTCCAAGTCCCTCTCCAACCGCCTTCTGCTGCTTGCTGCTCCCAAGGTGGGTTGGAAGGGCGCTGTTGCCAAAGTCAGGTAGTAGAGGGTCGCTCAGATCAGCGGCACCGTCAACCTGCCCGGCTCCAAGTCCCTCTCCAACCGCCTTCTGCTGCTTGCTGCTCCCAAGGTGGGTTGGAAGGCTGGCCAACGTTCCTTGCGAACACCAAGGTGGGTTAGAGGGCTGGCCGCCTCCTTTCCTTGCGTCGTACAAGTCGGATCAGTGGCACCGTCAACCTGCCCGGCTCCAAGTCCCTCTCCAATAGGGTTGAGCAAGGTAACGAACACCTGTTCGGTTCGCCTCGAACGTGTTCGGTGTTCGTCTCGTCGTGTTCGGGGCAAAAACGAACACGAATGTGTTCGTCGCGACTGTCCCGCGATCTACAATTTAGGTTGCGGGACATTCTGTTTGAGCTCAAATTTGAGCTCAAACTTAGTCGCACTATTCAGCAGCAGCCATTACTACCACGCCCCCCACACATCACGCCATTATCACCTCGTTAGGACTTAGTGTAAGTAAATTGTTACCTTAGGTTAGTCTGACTAGACTTGGGTAGGTGAGATTTAGGTTGTCGGGAAGGGACTAGACAGGAATACTGCAGAATCTCGTTAGTTGGGGGTTGGGGGTAAGCATTCGCAAATTTCGTATGCATGGGGTTGGGGAAAGCATTCGCGAATTGCGTAAGTTGGGGATTGATAGGAATAACATTCGCATTTTTCGTAAGTTGGGGATTGATAGGAATAACGTTCGCATTTTTCGTAAGTTGGGGGATTGTGGGGGGGTGGCGAGCAATTGCAGATTTCGTAGATCTAGAGGGGGGAGAGCATTTCGCCTTACGTGGGGGGGAAATCTAAGTGGCGAGCTGGATAAGCAAAAATATGGATCCCTAACTAGCACAAGCCAGATCCAGCCTATATTTATTCCCCCTGTTTCCCGCAATTCCCCTGCCCGCCGTTGCGTATTTCGAGCGTAACAGAGGATGCCCAAAAGCGAATACGAACGTGTTTGCCACGAACACGTTCGTGTTCGCCTCCGAAACCAAAGTGTTCGCCTTCACAGGCGAACGGCGAACACCTTTTTTTGCTAAAGGTATGTTAGAAGCATGTCCCCTCCTTTCCTTGTGTTCCGTGAGTTGAATCAGCGGCGCCGTCAACCTGCCCGGCTCCAAGTCCCTTTCCAACCGCCTGCTGCTGCTCGCTGCTCTTGCCAAGGTATGTTAGAAGCATGTCCCCTCCTTTCCTTGTGTTCCGTGAGTTGAATCAGCAGCGCCGTCAACCTGCCCGGCTCCAAGTCCCTTTCCAACCGCCTGCTGCTGCTCGCTGCTCTTGCCAAGGTATGTTAGAAGCATGTCCCCTCCTTTCCTTGTGTTCCGTGAGTTGAATCAGCGGCGCCGTCAACCTGCCCGGCTCCAAGTCCCTTTCCAACCGCCTGCTGCTGCTCGCTGCTCTTGCCAAGGTATGTTAGAAGCATGTCCCCTCCTTTCCTTGTGTTCCGTGAGTTGAATCAGCGGCGCCGTCAACCTGCCCGGCTCCAAGTCCCTTTCCAACCGCCTGCTGCTGCTCGCTGCTCTTGCCAAGGTATGTTAGAAGCATGTCCCCTCCTTTCCTTGTGTTCCGTGAGTTGAATCAGCGGCGCCGTCAACCTGCCCGGCTCCAAGTCCCTTTCCAACCGCCTGCTGCTGCTCGCTGCTCTTGCCAAGGTATGTTAGAAGCATGTCCCCTCCTTTCCTTGTGTTCCGTGAGTTGAATCAGCGGCGCCGTCAACCTGCCCGGCTCCAAGTCCCTTTCCAACCGCCTTCTGCTGCTCGCTGCTCTTGCCAAGGTATGTTAGAAGCATGTCCCCTCCTTTCCTTGTGTTCCGTGAGTTGAATCAGCGGCGCCGTCAACCTGCCCGGCTCCAAGTCCCTTTCCAACCGCCTGCTGCTGCTCGCTGCTCTTGCCAAGGTATGTTAGAAGCATGTCCCCTCCTTTCCTTGTGTTCCGTGAGTTGAATCAGCTGCGCCGTCAACCTGCCCGGCTCCAAGTCCCTTTCCAACCGCCTGCTGCTGCTCGCTGCTCTTGCCAAGGTATGTTAGAAGCATGTCCCCTCCTTTCCTTGTGTTCCGTGAGTTGAATCAGCGGCGCCGTCAACCTGCCCGGCTCCAAGTCCCTTTCCAACCGCCTGCTGCTGCTCACTGCTCTTGCCAAGGTATGTTAGAAGCATGTCCCCTCCTTTCCTTGTGTTCCGTGAGTTGAATCAGCGGCGCCGTCAACCTGCCCGGCTCCAAGTCCCTTTCCAACCGCCTGCTGCTGCTCGCTGCTCTTGCCAAGGTATGTTAGAAGCATGTCCCCTCCTTTCCTTGTGTTCCGTGAGTTGAATCAACGGCGCCGTCAACCTGCCCGGCTCCAAGTCCCTTTCCAACCGCCTGCTGCTGCTCGCTGCTCTTGCCAAGGTATGTTAGAAGCATGTCCCCTCCTTTCCTTGTGTTCCGTGAGTTGAATCAGCGGCGCCGTCAACCTGCCCGGC